TTTTAAAAAGTTAACATAAGCTGGGACTGGTGGCCTACACCTATAATTCCAGGATTCAGAATAGTGAAGCAGATGACCAAGAGTTCAAGGCCAGCCTGGTTCACATAGTGAGACCCTTGGTCAAACAACAATAAAGTTCAAAGCTGCTCTGAATTACACAGAGAGTTTCAGGCCCCCCTGTTATATACTTTCCACGCATCATCCCTTGAATGCCTTAAGCCCTGAAACGTCCAAAGTCTCCTCTCCAGTTCACTGTTGGGAGAAACTGAGGATAGTATTTATTTTATGCATGTGGCTGTTTGGCTGTATATATTTCTGTGTAGCTGGTACCTGTGGAGGCGTCAGATCACCTGAAACTAGAAGGTGAGACACCACGTGGGTGCTGGGGCTTGAACTTGGGTCCTCTGGAAGAGCAGACAGTGCTCTCAACCACTGAGACATCTATCTCTCCAGCCTGTTGTTTGATTTTTTTTAATTACATTTATTTATGTGCACAGGTCTCTCCAGCCTCTTGCTTTGATTTTTTTAAAATTACATTTATTTATGTGCACAGGTGTGCACTCCCTGGAAGAGGTCAGAGGACAACTTTTGGGAGTTGGTTCTCTCTTTCCAAATGTGGATTCCAGAGATTAAACTCGGGTCATCCTGAGGATAAAGTGTCTTTATGCACTGAGCCACCTCACAGGACTTGTTTTTTGGTTGTTTGGGGATTTGTTTTATTATTGTTTTATTTTTCTTGTCTTTTTTAGAACAGTCTCTTGTAGCCTGGTCTGGCCTCCAACCAAGTATGATCCTAGAATCTGGTCCTCCAGCATCCACCTCATACTAAGGTTATGGGCCTGGACCACTGGGCCTCTGCAGGGATTGTGACCTTGCAAAGCCTTGGAGTACATCTCAACCTCTCCTTCTGTTAGGAGCCTGGGACAGGGAAAGAATGTACTGGTTTCATCTGGAACAGCTAGGCTCAGAAGTTGAGGGAAGGAAACCTGAAACCAGATCAACAGGGACCAGACAAAGGCCTGAGGTTGGCACCACCTGAGCTCTTTCTTAGGGACACAGGTGGCCAGGACTCTGGCTGCTTGCCACTGCAGAAACTCCACCTATCAGGTGGCTCTCTGGCTGTCCTGGCTGGTCTTAGGGGAAAACACTCATGATGATGATCTGTCTCCATGGCCCTTAATGGTAACATTCAGATGGGAGGAACTGAGTTAGGGGATGGCCAGGGTCTTGTCTGTGGTCACACACCAATTTAGTGACAGAGCTAGAAAATGAACTGAGGTCTCCAGCCACCCACTTCTGGGCTTGTGCTGGCTCCAGGAAACCGGGCTTATCCCAGAATCTCATACACCACAGAACTTTACTATCATTTAGGCAGTTTGAGGAATATGTTACAAATTGCATTTCAGGGAATCAGTAGTACAGCCCCGGGTATAAAGCAAAAGCATTCATCACTGGAGAGATGGCTCAGTGATTGAAAGAATTCACCAATTGCTCTGCCAGAGGAACCAGGTTCAATTCCCAGCACCCACATGGCAGCTCACAACCATCTGTAACTCCAGGCCCAGGCACCAGGCACACACATAGTGCACAGACACACACATGTAGAAAACACTCATAGTCATAAAACAAAACTTTTTAAAAATTAAAACTAAACAAAAGTGAGCCAGGCAGTGGTGGCATACACCTTTAATTCCAGCAATCAGGAGACAGAAGCAGGCGGATCTCTGTGAGTTCGAGGCCAGCCTGGTCTACAGAGCTACACAGAGAAACCCTGTCTTGAAACAAACAAACAAACAAAAAACAAACAAAAAAACTGGACAAAAGTCTCTGGGTTCACAGACAAGGGCCTGCTATTCAGAAAAGCTGAGGAAGTAACCTTTGTATAACCAACCATGACTGAGTCAAGGCCAAATCTAAGACTGGCTGTCTTCAAGACTATGTTCCACTCACTTCCTAAGAAAGCTGAGGATAAAAAGGGTCCCAGAATGGAGGCAGGGATTTTTGTTTGTTTGGGTTTGGTTTGGTTTTTACCAGGTTTTTGCAACAGTTTCACTATATAGCCCATTCTGGTTCACCACTTGTGCTGTCCAGGCTGTCTTCAAATTATAAATCCTCCTGCCTCAGCCCCCAGTAATACTGTCATTACAAACATAGCTCACTACCCAAGAGCCCTAGGAATGTGAGGTGTTAAAGGGCATCCTCTGACATTGTCCTCTGTTCCTGCCTTGCTTTGGACAGTTTGCCTTTAGGGATGATGTGCCTTTGGTACGGCTGGAGGTAGCAGATGAGTGGGCACGGCCGGAGCAGGCTGTGGTGCGGTATCGCGTGGAAACCGTGTTTGCTCGGAGCTCCTGGGACTGGATCGGCTTATACCGGGTGAGAAGGGCAAGAGTCTGGGGCTCTCACGGAAGGAGGGGGCCTGCAGCCCCCCTGGAGAATCACTGGCTTATCCCCCGTTTGCTGTTCTGCTGAGACGCTTCTGGCATTAGATGTCCCAACCCTTGGTTCCTCTTTCCCTAGGTGGGTTTCCGGCACTGCAAGGACTACGTGGCTTATGTCTGGGCCAAACATGAAGAAGTAGATGGTAATATCTACCAGGTACTTACAAGGAGTGGCGGGGTGAGGGCCCCATTGCCTTGGGGACACCAGGATTCTGCTTGGGGGTGGGGGTCCTGAGGCTACACCTTGGCCCCAGCTTGGGCCTCTACCCCTGTGCCCACCAGGTCACCTTCAGTGAGGAATCACTACCCAAGGGCCACGGAGACTTCATCCTGGGTTATTATAGCCACCACCACAGCATCCTCATTGGTGTAACTGAACCCTTTCAGGTAAATAGATCAGACCCTAAGGCCAAAGCACGTCATGAAGTCCCAGTCACGTGTCAAATCTTCTGTGTCTGTGACCTCAGACCAGTAGCCCAACCTCTCTGGGTCCGCCAACAGGAAGGGAGAAAGTGGGCAGGCTAGAGAATGGGATTGTCCCAATGGCCAGTATTCTCTCCAGATCTCGCTGCCTACCTCAGAATCGGCCAGCAGCAGCACAGACAGCTCAGGCACCAGCTCGGAGGGTGAGGATGACAGCACTCTGGAGCTGCTTGCACCCAAGTCCCGAAGCCCCAGCCCTGGCAAGTCCAAGAGACACCGTAGCCGCAGCCCCGGCCTAGCCCGCTTCCCCAGTCTTGCTCTCCGTCCTTCATCCCGTGAACGTCGCGGTGGCAGCCGTAGTCCCTCACCCCAAAGTCGCCAGCTGCCTCGGGTAGCCCCTGACAGAAGTCACAATAGTGGCAGCCGAGGTAGCAGTGAGGAGGGGCCCTCTGGGCTGCCTGGCCCTTGGGCCTTCCCACCAGCTGTGCCTCGAAGCCTGGGCCTGCTTCCAGCCTTGCGTCTGGAGACCGTAGACCCGGGTGGTGGAGGCTCCTGGGGACCTGACCGGGAGGCCCCTGACCCTAACAGCCTGTCCCCAAGCCCCCAGAGCCGACTGGGGCTAGAGGAAGGGGGCTTGGGGCCCTGAGGTGGGTAGGCACATGGACCTGGACAGCCTCACTCTGCCTCTACCTTCCACAAACCTGCCTGCCTCTCTCTTGCTGCTGCTCCAGTCGTTAACCACACCTGCCACTCTGTCTTGGCCAGGAGTGGCCAACTGGGGCTCCCCTAACTCAGTCCTGGCACCACCTCAACTGTGACAATCAGCAAAGCCTCGCCTGGGACCCCATTCTTGCACAGTGGGGGAAACTCTGGCAGATGTTCTGATCTTGGAGGTCATCCATTAGGAATTAAATTTTCCAGCTTCACTCCTGGCTCTTTGCTGACATGTGAGCAGTCTGCAGATGGGGGGGCGGGGGGTAGGAATTAAAGATCTGAGGGAGTGATAGAACTAACATATATTAGGCACCAGTTGTATATGGAAACATGCCATCTCCTTTAATCTCCACAATAATCCTGTATGCTCAGTGCCATTTTTGAACCATTTCACAGATGGGCAAACTGAAACCTCCCACAGCTCCCACCAGCATCTCAAGAGCAGGCAGCAAGCTCAGCCTGGCTATGCACTAGAAGAAGAGAATGTTTACTGGTTGTATGTGTGTTTATTAATTTACTTATTCCTCAGCAGCCCTATGAGGTAGTTCCTGTTTACAGCTCCCTTTTCAGGCTAGGGGTATAACTTAGTTGGTTGCATGATTGTTTAGTAATCCCCGGTTGAAGGGTTGAAGCCTGGGTTCTATCCCTAGTACCACATAAGACTTGGTGTGATGGCTTATTCCTGTAATTCCAGCTCTTGGAGGTAGAGGAAGGTGGATCAGAAGTCCAAGGCTATACTAGTGTATGTAGGAGAAGTCAGCCTGGGTTACAATGAAACCACGGCTCAGACAAAAAACAAAAACAAAAAACCCTCCTTTTTTCAGAGGAGGATACTAAGGCTCAGAGTGGAGGAAGGAGATCCCTAACTCAAGGGCACAGACGAGATTCTAATTTAGAGTTAGAGCAGAAAGATTAGTTGAGGCCAGGAAGGGCCCGGACGCTATTAAGAGAAGGGGTCTCCACTGGGGAGAGTTGAGAACACGCTCCTCGTGCTGAGTTCAGGTCTGGGTACTTCTGCTGTACCGGTTTTCCCACCTGCAGTTCTAGGCCAAGGAGGCTCCTGCAGGCAGGTCTCAGGACATGTTAATTTTGTAACAGGGGCAGTCAGGCACCTGCTTCTGCCTCTGCAATCAGTCACTCCCCATTTCCACCGTGCATGAAGTTTCCTGGCAAGGTCTAAACCCAAGGCTTTGGAAGGAGCTTTCTGAACACCACGTCCAGGCACAGAAGGGTTGTGTCACTAGCTCTAGGTCATCCAGCACAGCAGACATGGTCCAGCATTTAGGTCTTGAAGTTCCTCCCATCAAGCCTCCAGTTGCCCATGTGAGCCAAGTTGTTCCTCAAAGAAGAGGCCAAGTCTCTCAGAACATGGCAAAGCCAGGAAGGAGGTCCAGGCTGGTGCCCAGGCTGTTGTGCCTGAAGTCATGAGCTCCAGAATTTTTTCTGCCCACCGGGTCTCCAGATTGCTTCGGTTAGTTGCAGACACCGGCTGTAGAATGACATGGAGGTCCCTGAAGGCCCCAAAGACAGTGCCAGAGTCCCACCTGTGCTTTTATCCCAGAAATGGAGTCGTTTCTGCTGAAGCCTCTGCAAGTGTGGAGCTGACACCCTGATGGCCCTGTGGTCTCTGGAACAGCTGTGGGAAGAGAAGGGGTCAAAACCAGCAAAGTCTTTGAAAATGGAACCAAGGCCAGAGAGGAGCAGGAGTGAGGTGAGGGTCACTAGCAAGGCAAGGAGAACATGGCTATACCCAGATAAGGCAGAATTAACCTAGGCTGGTACCCAGAGGCCTAAGCTCCATACTGAATGGTTGTGGAAACCTGAGCCAGTAATTGAGCCTCGGTTTCCCTATCTCCGTATCAAGCAGGTCCTGAGCTATATACAGCACACCCACTATTTTCTTGTCTTCTGTCACCTGTTTGTTTGTTTGTTTGAGACAGGATCTTTCTGTATATCCTAGACCAGCCTTAAAACAGCTATCTAACCCAGCTGGGCCTCAAAGTATATTCTCCTGCCTTGGCTTCCCAAGTACTGGGACTGCAGGCATGTACCCCACATCTGGCTTTCCTGTGGCCATTCTACAGACAAGGAAATAGTAGAGGATTAGGAAGGTGAATCAATGTATCAAGGACATACAAGAATTAAATCTCAGAGCCTAGGCACACACATCCCCCACCCATCCAGCCTGCTGCAGAGCTGGGCTCTGGGAAGCATGAGTCAGAGGGGCAACAACAAATGGAATTCAGAACCCCTGTGATACTTTTCCAGGCCTCTTGTCCCAGGCACTCAATTGGTCTCTGTACAGGCAAACCCAGCCCTTGGCAAAGGCCCCCCATCCCTCCTAGCTCTGCCATCACTCACCCTTTGCCTTCAGCACAGTCGAGTTGGGGGGCCAGCTTGAAGCAGGTAGTTCCCAGGAGCTCCCAAACCTTGTTAGTGCCTACAGGTGGGCTGTGAACCCTCAGGAAATGTGCCAGACTAAGGGTAGATGCAGGCTCAGGCTGTGCCATAACCATGCCAGGTGCCCTTGCACAGTTCTGGCAGTAGGCAGCCCACCCCCAAGCCCACCCAGCAGGCCTCACCGGCGGGTGCAGTTACAATGGAAAAGAGGTGTCTGGGCACTGTTAAGCAGGTGGAACTTGGTTTCCTGGGGCTTGATCTGGTGCTCACACTGGTCCAGGCGTTGAAGGGTTCGGCAGACTCGGTGGGCACCTAGGGGCAAATGTGGAAGAAAGCCAGGCCTCAGTGGTGGTGCACGCCTTTAATCCCAGCACTTGGGAGGCAGAGGCAGGAGGATCTCTGTGAGTTTGAGGTCAGCCTGGTCTACAAAGCGAGTTCCAGGACAGGTTCCAAAACTGCACAGAGAAATCCTGTCTCGAAAAACCAAAAAAGAAGGAAGGAAGGAAGGAAGGAAGGAAGGAAGCCTGGCCGGCCTGGGAGGTCTCACCCTTGCCTGCCACCATCCAGGAGACACACCAGTGAGACACACCAGTTCATGTGCTTGGTTACACGGTCCTTTTTTTTTTTTTTTTTAAAGAATTTATTTATTTATTTATTATGTATACAACATTCTGTTTCCAAGTATATCGGCACACCAGAAGAGGGCACCAGATCTCATAGCAGATGGTTGTGAGCCACCATGTGGTTGCTGGGAATTGAACTCAGGACCTCTGGAAGAGCAGTCAGTGCTCTTAACCTCTGAGCCATCTCTCCAGCCTTACACAGCCCTTTTTTGTATCCTCCCCTATATGTTCACAGAATGTCACCCACATAGAATGAACTGCTCCCTACCCCATGCACAGTCACTGTCTGGAGATTCCAGATAAGACTTCCTTGACACAGAGACTATGAATCTGAGTAAGAGAGAGAAAAAGAGAAAGGGTTCCCAATAGGAAAAGAATATGTGCCAAATAAAGCTAATGGTGAGAGTTGGTTGTGAGGGCTTGAGTTTTGTTTCTGCTGGGCTTGAGCATGGATGTAAACCGGGGCCATGCATGTTGTAGACAAATGCTTCACCACTGTATTCATCCAGCCAGGTATATTTAACCCTTGCAGTTGGCATTCGAGGAAACATTTGTGAAGCTGAAGTTTCAGCTAGAGGGTTGAGTACACAGGGCCTGAGGTTCTGAGTGCTGAGATATTGTCAGCTGATATTATGAAAGGTGAGGGACTCAACAGGGAGTGGCAAGCTCCAACTTATGCAATATGAAAGTCCTTGGCTATCTGGATCTGATGAGGAAAGTTGGGGTGCCCTGGGAGATATTTAGAACATGAAAAGAAGTAACACCTACATTTGCACACAGAAGCAAGAACACCCACTCAACCTGCCTGCTAAGAGCATAGTTTTAAACTCACCTTGAGGTTTTGGGCCATCTTGATAGCCTGGATGGGGGACTTCTGGCTGGGCTCTAGGGACCATATCAAGCCTGGAGGCAACCTCAGGGGTCTGGAGGGTCATAGTGGAGGTTATACTTTGGTGCCCAGCTTGTGTCTGTTGTCGCTTCTTCTGGGGGTATTTGCTGGGAGCTGAACTCTGGGGGCTGGGAGTAGGTGAGGTGACTGCAGCCTTCCAGGAGGCATTATAGTAAGTCCTGGGCTGAAGATGAGCAAGGGGCACCGAGCCATATGCCCTGCACCTGAAGGGGACAATTCAAGGCAATTGATGACCCAGAAATTCTGTTCCTAAAGGCTCCAGGGTCATATCTACAGAAGCTAAATCTCTGCTAGTCCCATCCCCATCCCACCGGGTTATGGGATATACTCCAGAAGGGTCCAAACCCCTGACTTTGTCCTAAGGAAAGGACAAACCCTACAATGCATGTTTCCAAGAGGACAAACAGACCTCCCTCCCTCTCTGGTCTTGGAGCCCAAGTTGCTCTGCTGACTGGGCAAGGACTCAAGTGGGGTAGCCACATACCCGCCCCACCAGTGCCATGCCACACAGGCCTCCTGCTCCTTCAGCACAAAGCAGGGGATCTCCAGTACATTGAAGAAGGCCACGCCCATGATGTCAGAGATAGAGTCACGCTGGCTCCTTAGGCATTGCTGAAACCTGCCCCCAGAACCAGAATTCAGGTCTTGGGACCCCAGAGAGCCTCCTGGCACATTCTGCAGCCCACCCTACCAGATGATCATTCATTTTCTGGGGTCTCAGTTTTTCCCACCTGCACTGAGGGTGGTCGAGAGATGAAGGGGCCCCACTTCTGAACTCTCTGGATTCCTATTACCTATACCCAAGAACTGGGTAACTCTGCTCTGCCCCCAAGCCCCAGGCCCTCTCTGCTGCCAACCTGGCATCACAATCGCAGTGAGAGATGGTGTGGAATCGGAAGTTCCGGATGCCATAGTTATACTGTAAGGGTGAGATGGTTTGTGGGCATTGGTCGTGTTCCCGGCAGCAGAGGTCAGGGCCATGGAACATACCTGCATGGAGAGAAGAGGGAACAAACTAGAGCAGGGTCCTAGTTACCATGGACCAGCTATGACTACCTGGCCATAGTAGGCAGAGTTTACCCCATTCTCATCCCAGCCCATGGGTGGCTTCACACCAGTTGTTCTCTGGATACAGACACGCATAGTCCCAACATTTTCAGAGAAGACCATCAAGGCTTGCAGCCTCTTTGGCCTACTCCTAGTGCCAGGGAGCTCAAACACCAGCATGTGGACATGTCTTCTTCAGAACTAGAGCTGACTCACAGAGTTCCCAAGCTCACACCCAAAATAAACTCCCAGTTATGAATGTGTGTGTGATGGAATGACAGACAGGTGGGGTGCAACATTTTCTCTGGTACTGCAAGGCACTGGGTGCCCAAGATGCCACCCTGGCCTATTCAGGTCAGGTCCTGCACCAGTGCTCCCTGCAGATACACAACAGACAACTACAGCCCAAGCAATAGTGCCTTTCATGGGCGTTTCCCACAAGCCAAGCTCACAGAGGCCCAAAGGGGAAGTTGACCTTTATCTTACAGATAAGGAACTTGGAGCTACAAGAAGTGTTAGTTCTTGCTTAGCTGTGATCTGAACCCAGGTCTTAGGGTCTCTTTCCACTAAACTATGATTAGAGGCTGTTTATAACAGCAGAATTGGGATCCTCCCCACCCTACCTCCTCCCTCAGATGGTGATTCACAAGGACTCTGGGCTTGAGTAAGACCTTTCCCATCCATGACATCACTTATGTGTTCCATGAAGAGCTACTCATGTTCACCCCATTTTACAGACAAAAAATTGAGGCTCAAAGTACCTAAGTCACTTCTCTAAGGACACCGTCCTTCTCCACCCCCCACACACCCATGGCTCACCCAGGTCTGAGGAGTTCTCAGCGGAGTTCCCAACTCCACACCACAGCGTGCCAGGAATGGTCCAGCCTCTCCTCCTTCGACTGTGCCCTCTGTCAGGTGTTCCACTCTGCCCTGTTGCTCGCTTCTCTCTGGCTCCTGTAGGACTGTCCTCAGACCCTTGACAGGCCTCCCACTGGCTCTGCAGGGTGGTCAGTGCTTTCTGCAGCTCAGATCCAGGGCTATGGATGAAGGAGTCCCTCCAAGGCTCTTGAGTACAGAGGGCTCTGAAAGCTCTGATGAGCTCAGATTCATCCTGCCTGATACATACCTTCAGCCTGTAGCGTGCATCCCAGAGGGCCTGGAATAGGGCCAGGCCTTGGGCATCTTTGCCTAAGAAGCTCAGCGAGCCCAGAGGGCTACCAGGGATGGGCTTGACCAAGTGGCAGGAGGTGCTGTCCCAGTGAAGGGTGAGGGAGCCCCCTGGAGCAACCCCTAGGAAAGCCAGCACCCCCAGAAGGACTCCCAGAACCCCCATTCTGTCCTAGCTCAGCCGGCCAGACAAAGCTCCCTGGATGCCTGCCTTCGGCTACCCACTAGGCAGCTGCTGAGGCTGCATCGGAAGCAATGCCCAGCAGGCCCTGGGTGTCTGTCGGGCCAATGAATGGAGCTGCGGGAGGAGGAGGAAGGCAGGAGTATGGGGCTTGTAACCAAATCCACCGGCTGGGTAGGCTGCTGATTGGCTGAGAAATGCATTGCTGGGCCCACGCCTCCACTCACCCTGCCTTCAGAGCTGTCCAGTCACCTGCCCTAGGCCAGCCTGTAAGGATGAGTCTGGGAGCCAAAGCCTTGGGCTGTGACTGTGGGGGATGGAGGGGAGAAGCCAAGGAGGAGCTGTGTCTCCTTTGGAGTGAGAAAGGGGTTCAGTCAGGAACTTAGAGGAGATCCCCAGAACCTGTCCTTGTGTTCCTAGCCCAGCTGTGGCTGCCACACCCAAATCTATGAGATTGGCAAAAGGCCATGGACCTCACTCAGGCAAGACAGGTAGAAGAGGTGAGAGCAGGGCTGGGGGTCTGGGGCCCACCCTGGGAGTTTGCATGTCTTCTGGGAAAAGAAGATTGATTCTGGTACTCTTTCCAAGTCCTGGGTCTCGAAAAGACTGTTGGCATATGCCAAAGCCCCAGGACCCCTGGGACCCCTGGAACTTTAAGCATAAATCTGGTCTAACACCAATACTCCTGCCTGATGATTGGAACCCACAGCCAGAGTAGGACCTGAAAACAATTTGGAGCAGAGCTAGCACTAGGTATTTGAGAGATACTTGCCCCAGACAAGTAGAAATTGGCTCAGAGGGCTGGATCTGCAAGCCTTCTATTCTAGGAGTGTGGCTCAGAAGGCATCATGTGTCTCCCCAAAGACATGGGTCTCTCTTTTAGGGAGGGGTTTGCTCAGCACTGTTTACCATGTCCACAAGCTGATGTGTCATTCAGCTTCCAATCATCTGGTGAAGCTGGTACTTACACCCATTATAGAGATAAAGAAACTGAGTTCAGCTGAGCATAGTGGTGCGCACCTTTAATCCCAGCACTCCCAGAGGCAAAGGCATGTGGATTTCTGAGTTTGAGGCAAGCCTGGTCTACATATTAAATTCCAGAACAGCCAGGGCTACATAGTGAGACCCTGTATAAAAAAAAAAAAGAAGAAAAGAAAAAGAAAGAAAGGAAGAAAAGAAAAGGAAGAAATACACTGAAGCTCCATAACGATAAAAATTCAAATTACATTCAGGCCCCATGGGTCTGAGGGGGTTAAAGGCTGGGAATCAGGGCTGGCTGGGTCCAACCCCCCTCCAGCCCCCATCCTACTCTCTCCAGAAAGGCAAATGCCATTGTGTCAGAGTCAGAGCCAATACTGGGATGGGGAACTCAGGATGCTGCTTCGGGGGAGTGAATACCAGGTCATGAGGCCCATCTTTGTGGCTTCAGAATTAGCATTGCCCTGGGAGAAAATAGCAAAGAAAATGAGTGTAGCTGACCTGGACACCAGACCCCTCTCCAGAGGTGAAGAAAAGAGGTGCAGAGTAGAGGTGGTGGTGGTAGTTGGGGGGAGAGAGGGCAGAGACACAAACAAGTCCTGTGGAGACATTCTGGGAACAAGTTTGGTATTGTTGTGGTACTTTCCTTTGTCACAGGGCCTGAGTTCCAGCTCAGCTCCCTTTTCTACATTCCACACCTTTCCTCGCCCATCACCTAATCGTCTCGAGGGCCCAGCTTTGGAAAGATCAGACAGACCCAGCTAGAGTGGTGTGAGGCTGGCCTTAGAAGCTGGTCTCTTCTTCTGACCAGAAGCAATTCCCAGTTACCTATAGGATGTTAGGCAAGACTCTAAATGTAGGCGCAGCGCCTGCTGTCTAAAACACTCACTCATGCCTCAGGGCAGCAGGAAGCAGCTTACCTAGGAGAAAGCAAATCCTAAGGTTTGGGGTTCACAGTGTCTATATCTACCCACTTTGGGTCAGGGACTGTGGGACTGTGGCTAGGGCACTGCCTCACTGGGGAACTTTGTCTTATCTGGGTCCCTGTTTTCTTCCTCTGCAGTGAGAAGTACCCTGGGGAGGACCTCCATGGGAAGGCAGCCTGGGGCGGCACAGGCCTCAAGGGAGGCAATCACTGGGTTTCTCTTCCTACTACTGGGTGACCACATCAGTCTATGGACAGGAGCTGTACTGTGTCCCACCAGGGTGTCCCTCAGAGGACAGCAGGGTCCAAATGAGCAGGATCGGACAGACATGAAACTTGCCTCTGAGTCTCGACCACCCTGACTCACAGCAGGCATCAGTGGGGAGAAGGAGTGGATGTCTGTTCAAGAAATCAGTCTTTTTTTTTTTTTTCCTGTCCATATCACCCCTTCCTCTCCCAGTCCTTCCTTTTTGGTGGGGTCTTGCTGAGTCGCCCAGACTAATATCAGACTCGGAATCCTCCTGCCTCCGCCTTCTGAATTCCGAGATTACCAGTGTGCTCACCTCACTCCAGCTCCATTACTCCATTACTTTTGGTTTCTCACTCGTATCTCCATCTCCCTGACTTTATCTCCACCCCTTTCCATTTGCCTCTTGATAGATAAGTCTCATTTCCTTCCCCACTCTCCCCACCCCTTTGTTTTATGGGGCTGGGGCTAGAGCCCAGGTCCTTATATACGCTCACCAAGCACTCTGCCCTGAGCATCATCTCCAGTCCCATTTTGTAACAGAAGCTTAGGGATTGTTTTGCTAAAAGAGCATTAACTCCTTCCTCACTTGGTAACTACAGGTAAAAGCAGGGTGAGAGCCTTCAGTCCCCACCTGTCTCTTGCCTGCCTCTGCACAAAGGTATGCTGATCATTCATAGAGTGGCCATCTGGGAACTTGAGGGACCTCACCTATTTCATTCCCTTTCAAGTCTGAAGGCACAGAGAGCAAGCTACTTCATCTTACTGTCACCCTTTTACAGTGTCCTATCCTGGGCCCCAGTTGTCCTGAACCTGCAGCCACCTTAGATTCAGGAACAGCAGATCCTTGAAGGACAGACCACCCTGCAAACCAGGGCGATTATCTGTTGCTAAGGCCGAATGTTGGATATGAAGATTATCACCTGAGAACTGGTCTCAAACATAAGAGCCTCTTTGGACCACCTCGTAGAACCAGGACTGCTTAGGCATGTAGACTATTGTCCAATTCTTCCTCAGTTTAAACCTAAAGCACTGCCTTGTCAGGCAATGGTGGCACACACGTTTAATCCCAGCACTCGGGAGGCAGGGGCAGGAGGATCTCTGTGAGTTCGAGGCCAGCCTGGTCTCCAGAGTGAATTCCAGGACAGCCAGGGCTATTACACAGAGAAACCTTGTCTTGAACCCCACACACTAAAAAAACTAAAGCTCATGTCAGCACTCAAAGATGAATTTAGGAGTAATTGAACCCCTTACCTGTTCTTCTTATGTTGGTTATATACTTTTTCTCTGCTACTCACTGTTATCTGTTATCTTTGGGATTTTGTTCTATTTTATTTGAGAGAGGATTTATAATTGTATCTCAGGATGACCTTGAAGTCACTACATGGACCATGCTGGCTTTCAACTTTCAGAGATCTACCTGCTATGGCCTCCCAAGTACATAACATACCTGGCACCCAGAGGGAGTGCACCTTCCTAGGAACTGGAGATGCTCCTCTGTTCCCCCAACCCCTGCCTCCCCACCTCAGACTCCTCCTCTCCATTAGCCTGAATGGTGTCTCTGGCCTTCAGAACTGGCACCCCCAGCTTTACCCAGAAGGCGCCACCTGTGCTCTGTGCTCTGAGAAGGGGACGGGCTGTGCCCAGCTTCAGAGCATGCAATTCACTTAGAAACAAAAAGGCATTGCATTTACTGTGTGCCAGGCACAGGATGAGACCCTGGAGAGAACATGCTTCTGAGAGCTGTGGAGGGGGGTGGGAAGGGAACACATTCCCTTGGGAGAATGGGGGCGGGGGGGGAGCTGGGAGGGTGGGAAGGGAATACATTCCCTTGGGAGAATGGGGGCTGAAAGTGGAAGAGAGGCTGGAGCCTAGTGTCAGTTGGCTCCTCCAGGCAGCTGCTGCCAAGACAGAGTTAGAAGCAAAAGAGATTTACTGGAGGGAATACTTGGATAAAGATAAAAGGAGAGGATGTAGAACTGGGCAGGGGAACTTTTCAGGCCATGTTTCAGCTCTGACATCTATGGAAAGAGAAGTAAAGGAGAGACATGTAAGAGGAGGATAGCAGGTCTCAGCCAGCAAAGACTAGCCCCATTTGGACCCAATCAGCCAAGTCCTAGTGACCCAGTTATTCTGTCAATAGCTGGAGGCTTTCCAAGAAGACAGTGGTCTCTGCTGCAGATCATGAAGGAACTGCAGCTTTAGGCTGTCAGTCAACTGCTCTTGCACAGTGACCAGAAGAGACCAGTGAGAGGGACAGAGGCATAAAAGATGATCTTCTCCCAGGAAATTTTAGGTCACAGAGAAAGGGATTCTGGGTAGAGAACACACCTTAGGATTCCCTGGTGGTATTTGGTCCCTTGCACTCCTGACCAGAAATGTGCCGAGCTCCAACTGTGAGGAAATAAAGAATGAGGCCCAACGAAACAGCTCAGCAAACAGGAAGAAACACATTAGATTTGATGCTTCAGCTGCACAGTCAACTGTGGTGGCACACACCTGTAATCCCAGTACTTTGGAGGTAGGGACAGGAAGACCAGAAACTCACCCTCCTCAGCAATATAGCAAATTCAAGATCAGCCTGGACTGTATGAGACCCTGTCTCAGAAAGAAAGAAAAGTTAGCCGGGTAGTGGTGGCACACACCTCTGTAAATTCGAGTCCAGTCTGGTCTACACAGAGAGAGTTCCAGAACAGGCTCCAAAGCTACAGAGAAACCCTGTCTGGAAAAAAACAAAGAAGAATTGAGGAAAAGTAAGAGATTATAGAAACCAACAGACCTCATTGGGCACCATTAGAAGCCATGATGGTTCAAAATTATGCTCACAAATTCTTG